CACACTTCACCTACGATGTGCTGTTTCCCTCCCCGTGTGCCCCAGCCGAAAGCCTTCTCTATAAGGTCAAGAGTGACCTTCATGTTGACAAATCCAAGAAGCATCTTGCAGCCCTGTCTTACTCGATCTCTCCACTGCACTGGACCGAGCTGAATGCTCTCCTGGAACACTCTTCCCTTGGCTTCCAGGTTGCAAATTTCCCTCTGGATCTCTTTGCTCTTCCTTTTCTGTTTCCTTTGCAGGCAAGTCCTCCACAGCATGAAACGCTAGAGCTCTTTGGGACTCAGTCCTAAGCCCTTGACTCTTATTCTCAAGTTCTGTCTCATCTGTGCCCTTCATATAGATTATCTCCCATTCCTCAATGACTCCTAATTTTATTTCTCAGCATGGAATTCTTGCCCTGAGATTCAGAGCTATGTAGCCAACTGGGTACTCAATACTTCCACCTGGACATCAAGACATCTTAACAATGTAGCTCAGTCAGTCATTTGGTGCTCCCATCAGACTTACCTAATGTTTCTAGTCCTATGGATGGCACCACAAATTCCTTAGGCCAGTCACATCTGGATCGCTGTGTCTCTCCCACCTTCTCTGTTTAACCCATTACCGCAGTCTGTCAGTATTACCTCCTACCTGCATCTCTCACATTTCTGCACTTCTTTCCATTTCCATCACCACCACCACCATGCCCTGGAAGTCACGATTAATCCTCTCTCTGCAACTGCCTCTCCACTGGTTTCATCTCATCTACCTTTTCACATTGGATCCAGAGTATTGTTATTGCTTTTTTTAAAATGCAAATCTGATTGTATCATCTTTCTGTTTAAAACTCTTCAATGATTTTCCATTACTTTTAATATAAAAATCAAAAATTAGTGTTGCATGACTTGGCCTTACACCAAGCTCTTCTTTGATTTCTGGATCCAGTACAAAGCCACTTAGTACCTTAAATATGCTTCGCTTCTTCCTAATATGTGGCCTTTGCACGTGACATTCTGTCTGGAGAATATTCCCCCTTCATTTTGCCTCTATACCTACCTAACTCCTACTGGTTCATTAGATCTTGGAGGGCTCTGACCAGCTCTGTGCCCCTGCTGAGTCAGGGTCCCTGTCACACACTCTCAAGGTACCTTATGCTTTTCTTCGCAGTCATTTATTTGTGTGATCATAGAGTAAATGTCTCCCCACTAAACTGTGAGCTCCACGAGGAATTCTGCTCACTGTAGTATCCCTAAGCACTGTGCATAGTACTTTTCTTCCAAGACTTTCAATAAGTATTGAATGAATGAAACATCTCAGTCATCCTTGATGAGAAACAGGGTAAGTGAAAGTCAAGATTTTGTTCCATTTTGTTTTGAGGCTGGAGCCAGACAATTCAGTGTGGCCACATGGTTGATTTCGTGCTGATCAGGTTGGAAGATAGATATTTCTTCATTCATTAAAAACTGAGGAAAGGAATGAGTTATTATTTAACCAAAGGGACCTTGTTATAGTAAAGGTATCAGAGTTAGTCAGCTGGATATGGCTGGAATTCTAGTTCCACTTTTGATGGAACTAGATAATGCTGTTGGATCTGTCATAGAAACTCTTAGTCTCTGTTACTTCATCTGTAAAATGGGCCTACCTCATGGGGCTACTATGAGGATTAAGTGGGATAATAAATGTAAGTGCCTACCAGGGTACTTGGGTGCATAGTAGATGCTTAAAATAAAAGGATTTCCCCTCCCTCTCTCCCTTCCTTCCTTCCTTCCCTCCCCAGGGATTGAACCTAGAGCCGCTTAACAACTGAGCCACACTCCCAGCCCTTTTTATTTTTTGAGACTGAGGCTGGCCTTGAACTTGCAATCATCCTGCCTCAGACTCCAAAATTGCTGGGATTATAGATGTGCACCACCACATCTAGGTTTCTTTCTTTATTTTCTCTCTCCCTTTCTCCCTTTTTCCTTCCTGAATGCCCTGTGCTTTGTAGTTGGCGTTTTTCTGAACCCAGGTTCCTCAAGCTATAAGACCTTCTTAGTGGTATAAAAATTGGCATCCACAAAATGTGGCCCACATGTCTCTAAATCACACCTACCCTGTGCCTCTGTCTTTTTGGAGAGGTTCTTCACAAGAGGCCCTGGGGCCTGGGAGCCAGGAGAAGTTGAAGAGAGATGTAAGCAAACAGGATTCAGGAGCCTGATTGCTTATTGATGTCGGTTATGCAAAGGGAGCCAGGGCCGTTGTGAGTTTGCACTGCTTTTTCTGGTGGGTCACTGATGAGACAGGCAAATGCCCACCCACCAGGGAGAACTCAGGGTAAGCAGAGCCTGCTTCTCATTGGAGGGAAAGGCATTTCCTGGGCTGGGGAGGTTTTTTCATTACCCTGGTGTGAACTTTCTTAGAGAGGATTTAGAGCCAGTCTTGGAGATCACAGCAAGATAAAGGCCTCCTGCAGCCAGCTGGGCTACTCATGGCCAACTGCTTCAGCGCCACCCAGACTTGGGCCGGTCCTGACCAGAGTGAGGAGCATCCTTCCAGACTCGACCATGTGCCTCCTGCACAAAGCCTTTGCTGACTTCTCTCCACCCCTTCTCTGAGCTTCTAGAGCTGCTCATATCCTCATCCTAAAACTGATAACCCTGGAATGTACCGGGCTACCATGGTGACATCATATTGTATACATTCTGTGTATATGGTGCCATCTGGATTTATGCAAAGTGTGGACTTGAAGTGGTAGAATTCTGTTAATTGTCTCCCTTCTGGGCTGGGTGGTCCAAAGACTGGGAGCTGCATAAAGGGCTGGGTACATAGTAGGGGATGAACCATTAGTTCACTGAATGGTTAAGTGGGTAGGTTCCAGGTGCCTGGCAACAGCTTCCCTGCTCCCAAATGGTACTGTGTGAGTGCTCCTCCTCCCTCTGCTCCTGCAGTCCCACCCCGGGGAGTCTTCCTTTTAATGTCCTGTACTTCCGATCTATCATTTTGCATTTGCTTTTTCTGCCAGTGAGCAAGATCTTACACATTCCCCATGTTGTTGCTGTCTGCATTAATATCATGGTTAGTGGATGCAGACTACTCCATAGAGGGGCTAGTCAAGCCATTATTCACAAACCATTTTCTGATAGTTGACCAGGAACTTCCAGACTTTGCATCTTTAAAGAATGAGTGAAAATCAAACTTATTCAAGGAACTGCATAGCATACAGGGTGGCCAAAGAGAGGTGCAGTGGGGAGCCCATAGGAAAAGGAGGACGGGCTGAAGCGTGTTATGATTAGCCTGTGAAGCTGAACTAAGTGTGGACGTGATCCTGGAGGATAAGAGTCACAGAAAGATTTTAAGAAAGGATGGAACAGCAGTTTGGATTCTTAAAAGATCACTGTAGGGGGGCTGGGGTTGTGGCTCAGCAGTAGAGCACTTGCCTAGCACATGCAAGGCACTGGTGCTTGATCCTTAGCACCACATAAAAATAAATAAATAAATAAAATAAAGGTATTGTGTCCAACTACAACTAAGAAAAAAATTTTAAAAAAAAGATCACTGTAGTAACAGTGTTGATGAGAAATTAGATTAGGGTAGATAATAAAAGAGGAAAGAGTTGTGAAATAGTCCAGGGGAGAAAAATGGTAGTTTGAACTAATGGCCAGGTAAGGACTGATTTTTGAGATAAAAATGTAGAATCAATAGGACTTCGTGACTCACTGTACTACTGATGTTTCCCCACATGAAGAAGAGCAGGTTTATGTGAAGGTGATGGGTTCCATTTTGAACATGATGAGTTCAAGGAGAGGTGTTCAAGATACTGATAGATGTATCTACCCACTTACCTATCCATCCATCCATCATCCGTCCATCATCCACCCATCTATCCATCCATCATCTATCCATCCAACATCCATCCATCCACCCATCCATTGTCCATCATCCATCATGCATCCATCCATCATGCATCCATCCATCCATCATCCATTCATCCATTCATCCACTGTCTATCATCCATCCATCCCTCAATCCATGCATCCATGCATGTGCATGCATGCATGCATGCATCCATCTAAAACATCTAACTGGGGGAAGCTAATTTTGGGAATTGTCACCATACCTCTGGTCACTAAAGATTCCAGGGTAGATGAAATCTCCAAGGAATAGAGAATAGGACCTGGTGTGAGTCTGGATGTCCATGGTTCCTATTTGCTTACAGTGAGTGTACCTATGCACTCTGAGGGCCACTGGGGTAAGCAGAGACCAAGCCTACATTCCTGAGAAGGTAGAGGCACACTTGATACTCTGCACATGGGCAGCACCTCACCTGCTTGCTCACTTGATAGCTGTTACTCCAATGACACAAGTGGTATGTGGTGGTATTATGGCTTGGATCTGGAATGTCCCCAATTCTCATGTGTCAAAGGCTTAATTCCCAATGCATTAATGTTCAGAGATGAAGCTTTTAGGAAATGATTGGATCATGAGGGCTCCAACTTCATCAGCAGACCAATTCGTTTGATGGATTAATAATTTGAGGGCTGGGGATATGGTTCAGTTGGTAGAGTACTTGCCTTGCATGCACAAAGCCCTGGGTTCAATCCCCAGTACCACCACCAAAATAATAATAATAATAATAATAATAATAATAATAATAATAATAAACGGACTACTGGGAGTTGGTGGAAACTTAGGCAGGTAGGGCATTTTTTGAGGAGGAAGGTCACTGGGGGTGTACCCATGGAGATTATATTTTGTCCCTGGTCCCTTCATTTCTCTCTCTGTGTATCCTAGCTTTCATGAGCTGAGCAGGTTTGTTTCCACACACCTTTCCACCATGATGTTTCTACCTTGGAGCCAGCTAACCATGGACTGAAAGCTCTGAAACCATAAGTCAACATAAGTCCTTCCTCCTTTAAGTTGTTCCTTTCAAGTATTTGACACAGTGATGAAAAGCAGACCAACACTGTGGCCATTAGGCAGGTGGCTTCCATTACAAAGGCAGGATGGGGCAGGGTGGGGCCAGAGTCTGTGCTACTTACACGTTGAGAGGCTGCCAGGCTGGCCACTGGGCTTTGGCTTTGATGACAGTGAGGACCTCATCACTCTGGAAAAAAAAAAAAAAAAAAAAAAGAACCAGAGATATTTAGTGAACAAAGCTGGATTCATCGACATGTGAGGAATTTGACATGGTGACATCATCTACCCCCATTCCCTCACCTGCTAGAGACTCTACCTGTACAATTGTGGAGCCATCTTGCCACAGAGCCTCAGCAACACCAGGAGGTAGGACTGAATGTCCAGTTGTGCCTGGTGCAGCCTGGACACTGATGAGCCCACTGAGCCACACCTTTGGTCTCCAGCTCAGTCCATTCCCTCCCCACTGGTATTGGAGCTCTGACCTGGACTTGGCCTGGATGAGCCAGATTTCCATATCATGTCCAACCTGAAGGGCCAAGTCAAGTGCTCTGCATCCAGGCATGAGTTGGGGCCTGCTTCAGGGTCAGTAGGAGCCACAATGCAGCCAACACTTGAACCCAAGCACTGTCATTCTCAGTGTCACTCTCCTGCTATTGAGACCCCCTCCTTGGACATGGAAGGCAGAACAGAGCCTGAGCCCTACATACTTTGCTGCATTCATGACATACTGCTCTCTGTTGCTTTGGACAGGGTGTAGAGCACCATTAGAGCATAGGGAAACTAAAACATCTTTTTGAGAAAGAATTTGATAATTAACACTTCGAAGGAAAGCATTATATGGTCACCATAAGGCAAAAATTTGAACGTTGTCGATGTTGCTTGATTTTGAGGTTTGGATGGGTTTTTACTTTCAGTTACACACTGAAAGGAGGGCATCATGATGTTTGCAAGGCTTAAGGCCTACAGAACCCCAAATTCAGCTTTGGCAGGGGCTTTTCCCAGAGTGATCATCTGGTTCTGGATTCCCCTTTCACCTGGCCTGGCCCAGTAGTGTTCAGACATCATTGTCCTTTGTGTATAAAAAATTCCAGAATGTCACCAGCTGGGGAAGGAAGAGCTTTGTTGCCAACTGAACAGATTCCTGAGTTCCAGGGAACAAAGACTCATGTGGCTATGCCCCAGTCCAGCTGTGTCTGGCAGCAGAACATGTTTGGGATGAATTGGTGCACTTCCCCTTGGTTGGGTAACTTGCTCAGAAAAACCCACAGTCCTGAGGTAACTGGAAGAAAGGAGGTCAGAGGTGTCTTCCAGGCCCCCAAATGATAAAATAAACTTCTGGTCCAAAGTGCTTCTCCTGCCACCAGGGAAGGAGTCATTGGGTGGTGGGCCTCTGAGGAGGGGGGCACAGCCAGATCCAGCTTGGCTTGGGCTTGTGTAGATAGTGCCAGGTGAGGAGAAGGGCAGAAGCCAGGCCCACATAACACATTGGCAGAGTTCCTAGCCCCCTGCTGAGTGCAGGCTTTCTGGGGTGCCCACTTTGGTTGGAGGAAACAATCTTCAGATGGATATACATTCCCACATTCATAGGTCTACACAAAAAAACATTTCCTAGCCCTACCTGAGTCGCTGCATTTCTCATGGAAGAATTATTTGTTTATTGTGGATTCTTCCTAGTTGGTATCTGAGAAGTGACTGACAGAAGGTGTTTACCATGAAATCATGTGGAACAGGAGCAATCTCCTGAATGCTAGCTCTGCATCTTCCAGAACCTCCATGTCTCACATGGACTCTTTCGTCTGACCCCAGAACCCTGCTCCTTCCCAGTAGGTCCTGTCTAGGTTCAGTACACATCTGCTACTCCCTGATCCTGACACGGGGTGACACCACCTTCCTCCAGCTTCCACCCCATCACACTAGACCTTCTGTGCTTGTGTCCATAAATCTGATCATACCCATTCCCAACCCAAAGCCACCAAGGGCTGCCTACAACTTCCGTGATCACTTCTGATTTCCTCATCATTGAGCTCTGGTCTACATTTTTTTTCTTTGATTTTCCAGAACAATGTTCACTTATTGTAGAAAATATTAGCATTGAAGCAGCACACAATGTAAATGTTGAGCACATTCTATCAACATCTATCCTGCCTTCTGTTTCCTTCTCCTTCTCCAGAATATTACAGTTTGGTATGTGTCTTTCCAGACCTTTTACTATGCTTACACAACTCTGTGGGTGTGTGCGTATGTACTATATGTAGCTTTTCCCATGAAAAAATTGCATCATACTGAAAATCTTGTTCTGCACCACGACTTTAGCATTTTTCCTTAGTACCATATCACGAGAACATTTCCATCAGTACATACCGAAGGCCATTTACAATATATACTAAATATCATAGTTCCTCACTGAATTTTTTTGAAGTATTGGAAATCTTCAAATTATGGCAAGACAGGTGAAGACATAAAAATGAAATGAGATCCAAGTAATGAGATGCTGTCTGCTGACGTTCCTTTTGCCCTTGAAGAAATACTTCACTAAAAAATAAAATCAATGTGAGTGAGCTGAGGTGGCCACTGAGCTAGCCCTGCAGATTCACCTTGGTTTACAATTAAATCTTGGTTTTCAGGTTCCAGCTAATGACATATTGATTTTACTTTTGCAGTATATAACACAACAACAATAGTTTAGACCCTCCATTAGCGTTTATTTATGGTGATGAAATTCCATCTGCATTTTTGAGATCCGTGAAGTCTCCAAGGATGGGCAGTCCACATATGTGGCCATTACAGCTTCTGCTGTAAGTCATTTCATTCAGGTTATACAACATCTGTCTTATCAATGCTTATTATTGCTTTTTGTGATCCTTTGTATTATTCAGTGGAATTGGAAAAGAGCATATTGGAACATTTGCTCAAAAATAAACTATGTTTTTTTTTTGTTGTTGAACATTAAAGTTCTCTGATACAGCCTAAGTTATACAAGACTGGGGAGAGTCTGGTTTATTTGTGGCCACAGATGCCCTGTAAATTGCTGAAAAACCAAATAACACCATTGTTATTGTACAGGTGGAATTCCATAGCATGGGTATTTTCCATTTAACTAACATTATTAGTGGATGTTTAATATTTTTTTTCCACAAATGATGTCTCTATGAACATTTGTGTACGTATTTTTTTGTTCACACACCCAAAGTTTCCTGCATCATTGATTGCTAGGAATGATCAAAGGATGAAGAAACTTAAAATTAGGGTAAGCCCTACCAAATTGCCCTCCAAATGCCTATACTAGTTTATACTACCAGCAAGAATGTATGTGTGCTCAGGTCCTGACAACTCTGGGCACACTGGATCCTGTGTATCCTTTTAGTATTTATTAATCCAGTAGCAGGAAAGTAGAGTGGTTGAAGGCCTAAGGTCTGAGTTCAAATCCTGACTGCACTGTTGACTAGTTCTGTGTTTTCTGGCAAGTCTCTTGACCCCTCTTAGTTTTCTCCTTTGTGAAATGGGATCCATGCGTGGTTGTCGGGAGACTAAATTACATAGTTTAGGAGGTGGTAGTGCCTGGCACATAGAAAGTGCTCCATCAGTGTTAGCCATCATTCTTATTCTGAGGGACACTCAGCTGGAGCAGGCATTAGAATTGAGTTGCCCTGTTCAGGTACAGAGAATGGAGAATGGAGTTGCTGCTACAAACCCACAAAACCTCAAAAGAACTTTCTCTCATTTACAGACAAGATATCAGTTTCCGGGAGCATCTATGGGAGGCTTCTGTAGCTGGGCAAGCCTTGCATGGGGCTGCTGGGGCACCAGGCATTTTACATTCTGAAGAATGTAGGACTTAAATTCAGAGTAAGCAATCCACACATTAGACTTAAATGAAAAGCTTGTTTTAACAAGTCTCTAAGGCACAGATAGGATCTCCCAGGGATCCTCAGAGCCCTTTTACATCTCCCATAGGACCTTTTTCAAACAAAGTATTTCAAAGCATTCACACAGTTCATGCCTTGTTTGGAGGGTGTTAACACTTTCCCAAGGATACGCCAATTAAAATTAAATACCCAAAAGAAGCTACAGGTCATTTACGTCCACCTTTTATTTTGCTTTTGGAAAACATATTGGAAGATGTGTCAGCTGTACTTGTACCACACACACACTGTGCCAAATGGGAACAGCACAGCCCCCATCTGAGGTTCGATCCTGAGTGAGGAGGGTTCATGCAGAGTGACAACAAGCCTGGGACTGGCTGGAGGTGGAAATGACAGAGTCAGGTGATACAAGTCTACGCAGAGTAGAGAGTGAGAATGTGATCCGGTCAGGGCAGGGAGCCTGACCCTGCACTGGCCCTCTTATGGACTCCAAAGCCAGTACCCGGTAAGGGAGGGTTCTGAACGTCTCAGCTGTGCCCCAAGCCAGAGACTGCTGGAGTCTGTCACCTCCTCCCTGCCTGGATCCTTGACTTCCCTGTTCCGGCACCTTCCTGGCTCCTGATCTTTTGACTTCAATCTCCAGTTATGAACCGCAAAACTGTTTTCTCTTCACAAGTCCCTTGCTCCTGGCAAAGCTGCCCTGAATGCAGTCTTGGAGTGAGCTCAGCCAATTTGCCTGAAGCCTCTCCATGCTTTCTTCCCCCAGGAATAGAAGTGGGATGTGATTCCCTGATTAGGGAAGGAAAGGAATCGAAACAGATTGAAATAAGAAAAAGAACTGTTACAGATGTACGCGTTAGGCACCTTGCTAATTGTCTAGCTATAGCATCTCAATCCTCACAACGCATTGGCAAGGCAGGTACATACATATTTTTTAATCTTAGAAACACTTTTATTCGTCCAAGTTAATTTCACTGAATTTATGGTGAATTTAGGCTGAGCTAGTGTTTAAACCTCGGTCTGACTCCAGAGAACCCAGGCAGAGGGGAAAGGTAGAGAACCAGTCCCATCTCTCATGCTTGTGCTGAGCACAAGGCATGTCCTGGCTGATTCTGAGTTCTGTATATTGCAGCCACTCTGGGAGGGTCATCAGACGGTGTTCACCTTAATGTTGAAGTTCATGCTGTCCTGAGAACCAGCTTTGATGACAGAGGGGAAGGAACAGGCTTCCAGACAGAGTTGGAGAGAAAACTGTTTACTACTAATGAGGGGGAAACTGATGACCAGGCAGAGGTGCAATTCCAGGCAGACACAGCCACCCCAC